AAAAATTTTCAATCTCTGGGTCATCTCCCCATGAATTTGAATCGTTATTTTTGTATGTTTTAATTCCAAGAAACAAACATTTGTTAAAAAATGGAGAGAAGACACAGGGACTACAAAAAATGAACTTTTCCCCCCAAATTCCAATGTGTAATTGTTCTTTTAAAATCCACATTGTGTGTAGCGATGGTGGCTTAGAAGATGCGTTACCCGACCAGTGCAATGGAAAAGAAAATTTTTGGTTCGACCCTCGCATGTAGCATTGAGATTTTAAAAAAAATACAATCATTCCATTCTTTTAGCAATTTAATTTTATGTACTGATTTATTTTTTTAAATGGATGAATTTCGGTCCCATTCTACTGAGAGCGAAAGCAATTCTTCCATCCTACTGAAATTTTGATATGCACATGTACTTAAAATTGCATTTAAATATCCCCTATTGTCTGATAAGTGTTGTTTATTTTTGGGAAGCGTTACTATGTCTTAGTAATTTTAAAGATAAGCGGACTTTAATATAACATTTTTAAAAGATATTTCAATCTAAATTTAACATTTTTTTCCTATGCTTGTTACTCTGTAAAGTGTGTCCAGCTTTGGTCAGTGAAATCGTGGACATTTAAACTATATATAAATGTTTAGTAAAATGATTCTTGTATATCACACGCCAAATACGCACATCTTTAAATTTCGCTTATTACCCCTTTTCCCTCGAAGCGTGCATGAAAACACAATTATTGTGGCAGAATTAGGGGCTATAGGGCATTCCAGCTCTTCAGTTGGAGCTGTAGGGTTTCCACCAATTGTTGTTTCAAGCACCTTTTTTCTCCACCGTCTTTGAATAATATTGCAAACCAACACTAGGTAAGAAACTCCCAGCAATAATGAAAAACACACTTCAAAGACTAGAGGTACAATAACTGCTTGAAATATGTACCCGCCCTTGTCACCACTTGATGGTACCACTACAACCTCAAACTGCCGTATATAATAGTCGTATGGCACCTTTGTACCGATAACCAGTCAACGAGAATTAAGCTGAGTAATAGCTTACCTTCAGTTTTCAATACTAAGAGTAAGCAAATTTCAGGTTAGCTAATTGGGCCTGTGATGTTCCTGAGACCCGTCAAAGAGCTTAAAAAGAATTCTCCCGGAAGTAAACCATTCCAAAATGTTTGTTTTTTCTTTAATGGTCAAAAATGATAAAAATTCTTTCTTTTTTTTTAGTTTTTTTTTTTTTTTTGTTTTTTGCTTTTTGGCTGCTTGCATCTGACTTTGTAGTACATTGATTTGTCAGCATAGTAAAGCTTCTGTACTACACATAATATAAAGCAGATTTAATGATATAAAGAATAGACTACATAATATATAAATTGGACTTAATGATATAAAGAATAGACTAAATAATATATAAAGTGGACTTAGTGATATAAAGAATAGACTACATAATATATAAAGTGGACTTAATGATATAAAGGATAGACTACATAATATATAAAGTGTACTTAATGATATAAAGAATAGACTACATAATATATAAAGTGAACTTAGTGATATAAAGAATAGCCTACATAATATATAAAGTGGACTTAATGATATAAAGAATAGACTACATAATATATAAAGTGGACTTTATGATATAAAGGATAGACTACATAATATATAAAGTGGACTTAATGATATAAAGGATAGACTACATAATATATAAAGTGGACTTAGTGCTATAAAGAATAGCCTACATAATATATAAAGTGAACTTTATGATATGAAGAATAGACGACATAATATATAAAGTGGACCTAATGATATAAAGAATAGACTACGTATTATATAAAGTGGACTTAATAATACATGTATAAAGAAAAGACTACATAATATATAAAGCGGACTTAATGATATAAAGAATAGACTGCTTTATTATATAAAGCGGACTTAATGATATGAAGATTTGACGACATATTATATAAAGTGGACTTAATGATATAAAGAATAGACTACATAATATATAAAGTGGGATTAATGATATAAAGAAAAGACTACATATTATATAATGTTGACTTAATGATATAAAGGATAGCCTTAATGTTATATCGAATTGACACTATGATGCATATTTTGTACCCTTAAGACAGCTGTGGCGTTCCATAGATATGCCTGGAATTCGTCCATCGAATCAGCATTTCAAAATCTCAGACAGTGTCTGATGTCGTCACCTGTTTTGAAACATCCAGATTTTAGTGATACTCATTGTTCAGATTGACGCTAGTGATACTGGACTTACTGGTGTTTTATTACACGCAGGCAGATGACAATGGACTTGAACATGCAATAACATATGCTTAAAAAAACTCACAAAGACAGAACGCAATTATTCTACCATACACCGTGAAGCACTGGCTATTATCTTGGCAATTCGAGATTTTGTGTATGGCCGAAAGTTTCTCCTTCGGACCGATCACAAACAATTGACTTTTATTATGTTCTCGTTGGGCACTAGAATTAAGTGAATATCAGTTTGATATAGAGCATGCGAAAGGATGTGACAATGCTGTCAGTGAGGCATTGAGTCGTGCAGGAATAGAAGATCATGAGACCAAGTTACCTCTTTTGGCAGTGACCCGTTTGATGCGAGCAAAACAGGAAATACTTGAGCGATGTCATTCCTTAGGACATTTTGGTGCTCAAAGAACTTGGGAACAAACCAAATAAGTTAATGATAGGATCACTCTGTTGGAAGTCTAACAATACATTATGCAGTGAAAAACTTGCGTAGAGGGACCACATTATGTTCCAAAGAGTCCTTTAGGTGTGACCGTTACAGCATCTACCCCATGGAAAGTTCTTCACAGTGACTTTGCTGGTTCGCTTCCTAAATCTAAGACAGCTTACGAATACATTTTTACGTACATTATTGGATGACCTTACCCGATTCGTCATTGGCCTTTGCGTGTTGCTACTCTCTATATGACTATAACAATTTTGGATGGATTGTTTTCCATTCTGGGACCACCTCGTGTGTTACATTCAGACAACGGATCTGTTTTTAAAGCGAATGACTTTGCATCTTTTTGCAACAGTTGGAATGTAAAACAAAGTTTTACTCCTATCGTACGACCACAAGCTAACCCAGTTGAACGTTCACACGAGACCCTGAAAAGTTCATTACAGAAAACAGCGAACTCTGAAGCCGATTGGAATTCCTTACTTCCGGAAATTGTTCTTGCGCACAAGTTAGTATCAAACAGAACGCGAGTTCAAGACTTTCAGGAGTGTTTTCGTCCATATATAAAGTCCTACACTTCATTCCAATGTCAAGATAAGTTCATTTAATTTTGCGTTATTACATTATGCACAGCTATCAGACACCATGTGAAATCAGTGGTAAGAGCGTTTGCTCTAGAGTCGCAGATAGGAAGAAATTGATCCTTAAGCTTATGTCGCGAGTTCGCATCTCACTGCGGGACGTGGAGATCAGTCCTTCAGATGAAACCGTATAAACCGAGGTCCCATGTCATAGTGGATGCTGGCATGAAAAATGATTCCTCATTAATCAAAGTTCCTATATGCCGAATACAGGCCTAAATTTGCAGTCTGTCAACGGCAATGGTGGATCTCAACATGAGTGAAAAATTCTCCAAGGGACTTTTACCTAAAAAAGAAACAAAACAAAAATTTAATAAACGTCTTTAGCTACATAAATAAATGCCTTTTTGCTTGGAAATGGATAATATAAATTATTGCAATCAATTGCAAGAGAGTTTTCTAAATGCAAACTCCCTTATCTAAAATATCCATGTAATCCCTGTACGCTTTGCATTCATTTCAAGGCAATGTTTATCGATACAAAATGACATAAATCTTTTACTTTTTGTTTTTACTCGTTTGAATAATAACCATGTTTTCAGAATTTGGGAGGGTTTCATGCTTTTAATCATCGTCCCACATTTATGCTTCAAAATAATAGTTTCTATTAATCGAATAAGTTTCGCTTGAGTTAAACATTTTGTGTTATGTTTCTTTGTCCCTATAGAAAATAATTAAACTGTTACATTTCGAGATATAGTTTTCCCCTGAATTTCGGGGAATAGAATTTTTCTATTTATATAACAAGTAAATTATTTCAGATGTGTGTTCAATTTCAGTGTATTTTGACGCAGTTAGGAACACAAATTCTGAATATATTTAAAGGGAGTTTATTTTTATTGCGTATTGTAGATTTTTTTTAAAGATTTAAGGTGTCATGTCCCTCTGATAAGAGAGATAACTGTCCTAGGAAATTATTCGTAGCAATTCAATGAATTGTCTTAAATGTACCAGAGTTTAATAATGAGGACAATTATATTATAATAGTAAATTTGATCAAATCTGAACTACAAATCTTAATCTCTATTTTCTATTGCCAATATTTTTATAAATTACTTATAATAGTTTGCCTATAACATTTTTACTCAATTCTATAAACTGTTTAAATTCATATATTTCTATCTCTTAACATAATTCTTTTAAGTGTTTAAGGCATTTCAGATGAAGAATTTTTATAATCAATAAATAAATATTTTTTCTCTTAAAATTATCCGAAGAAAGATAATTCTTATAGATGGATGCATTTTAATTTTACAAGAACAGAAATCAATGTGATGTTCTGATTTAAAAAGCAACGCTTCATTATGTTTTCTAAAATGAATTAAATAGGTACGTCAGTAAATATTATCTCAGAAAAGTGTAACTCAAACAAATGGTAACTTTAAATTTATTTTAATAAGTGTGGCGATATTATGGGCACGGCTGTTATGAATAACTTGAAATGAAATACAATATGGGCAATGGGCCGCCAACAACGAGCATGCCCCAAAACAAATGCATATACAACAACATTCAACATTTAAGCAACAAATACAATCATATAGGTAGGTCATGACCAAAGGTCAAAGTTCATAATGGTAGGTCAAAGTTCATACAACATCAAAGTTCAAAGTTCACATTTTAGTGTAACCAACTAAGTTCAAAGTTCACAACAACATCAAAGTTCAAATTTCACCGTATATATAGAAAGCATTGACCCTGGGAGGTGCAGAGGTCAAAGCTCACTTTATAATATTTACTACCAGAATGCCGCTTTTACGCCACAAGTTCCCTGAGACAAGGTTCAGAATGAGACTCATCCAGGGAACTCCGCCACCATGGTGGGGGTAAAGCGGCATATAGGAACAGCCGTACCCAGGACCCTTGCTAATTGGGAAAGCAGGATTGGCCATGCACAACGATAGCCTCAAGTCCCCCCTGGAGGAAGTTTAGAAAAATGTTATTCCCCAACGAGGACATGTGTACCCCATCCTGTAAAAACAAAGCTGGAACAGGTTTTATATCTGTATGGCGGATTATTGCATCCCCAGATTGCAAGACAATTGAAGCTATGCAAGAATTTAGCCGTTTGCGTGCATTTTCCATGGCTTTTAAGTTTGCTGAATAGCGCCATTGAAGACGCGGAAGGATAAATGACCATATAATCTTGATGTTTTGAAAGCGATTTCTTATAAACAAATCCAACTGCTTTGCAACAACTCTTATTTTCCTGATCGATAACTTACCCAAATCATCCCCCCCCCCACAATGTATAAAAATAAAATTCGGTACAGGACCCACCTTTTCAAGTGTTCTAATCTTTTGCCTTGTTTTACTTAACTGGAGGCCACTATAACCCTGCCACCACAGGGAGATGTGTTTTCTTTCTAGTGTCAAATTTGTACCACCTGGTCTTAATACAGCTTCCAAAAAGGCATGCTTAATTATTGATGAACCCAGCAACCATATTGTCTGTGTATCTAAAATTGAATTAAAACTTTCGTATGCGAATGTAAGATTTGTAAGAAGAAGATTTCCAACGGCCAGATCTCTGAATGTCATCAGTTGAGAAACCCTTTAAAGCGAGATTAGTACTCGCACCGATACGAAAAGAGTGAGATTTGTATCCTGAGCTACCAGGTAAGTTAAGGTGCTTAACTGCTTTACAAAGTACCCCTGTAAACTGATATCGGGTGAGTGGGGATAAATCGAAATGTCGAAAAATTGGACCTGAACCCTCTGGACGGATGCTGACGTAGTTGGTAACGAGCTGATATGGACATGCTACACCACCCTGCTTGTCTATTTGTAATACTATACCTTTACCAAACTGATCCGTTTTTGAAAACTGGATAGTCAATAAGAGAGATTGTGTTTCATGATTTATGGACGAATTGTCTATTTGAATTGCGTTTTGTTGACGACCTTTGCTTGTATTAACTGTTAGTTCGCCCACTCTTAAAAATCCGTGAAAGGCCAGGGAGAATGCAGCAGAGAAAAGAGCAGTTTCAAAAGCATTAGTACATATTATGGGTAGAACCTGAATAATACTAAGCAAACTTGTTTTTGTTATTGGCAATCTAGTATCTGCTTTATGTTTCAAACGTCTCATGCCCTGTAATAACTTTGTTACCAAGAACTCCGGGGTTGAATCAGGTACATTTTGCAATTTACAATAAAATGAAATGGCAGACAAATATGACCTCACCGTAGAATATGCAAGACCGGATGATGATGAATGCAAAACAATTGCACAACCGAGTTTAATGAAGGAGGCCATGGCGTACAATCAAGCAGTCTACATACTTTGTAATAAGCTGCCATTCCAGCACGATGAGATTTATGTGTGTTTTCAGATACTGAAGCATCTAAAAGTTTAGCAAACTCAGACTGGAGATGATATTGCGGAATGAAAGGGGTACTGGGCAAGGATGTGTCCTGGCATGTGGAGCTGCTTGTCGGAATCTGGCCCACTGCTTACGAGAAATTGAGTCAGCTACTACATTGTCTTTACTTGGTATGTAAACTGCACGAAACAGAATATTATATTTCATAGAAGCAAGTACAAATGATCTAAGTAGAGTCATTACCCATTCTGATTTAGAGGTGAGCTTATTAATTATAGCTTGATTATCTATATGGAGAATCATCTTTTTATTAGGTAGTTTGTTACCCCATAAATAAATGGCCAAGACCACTGGAACTAATTCTAAAAACGTCATGTCTTTAAGCACTTCGGTGGAGGCCCAAGTTTCTGGCCAAGGGTAAAAACACCATTCCCCATTGAAATAAGCACCACAGCCTAAGTTAGACGAACCGGAACTATCTGTGTAGAAATTAATGTTCTTATCTGATGTCCACTCATTATCCAAAAAATACACAGTCCCATTAAATGACTCAAGAAAACTAATCCACATGTACAAGTCCTGGCGCATTGATTGAGTTATCCTAATGTGATAATGTAATTCTGAAACTCCTATTGTAGCATTATGTAGCCGACGCAGAAATGCCCTACCTGGACTTATAGCTCTTGTAAAGAAATTCAGTTTACCTATAACAGATAGTATTTGTTGAAGTGTTGTCTTGCGTTGAACAACGAGATTATGTAAAATACCCTGTAGCTCTAAGCATTTTGAATTGGGGATCTTAACTAGCATATGAT